GGGGGGGCTCAAAAAGAAATAAGACCCGGTCTTATTATATGAGAAGCATGGTATATTTGTAATGTTGTATTTTTTCCAGCACCTAATTGGTCAGCTAACTTTGATGTTCCTATGGAAACCACACATGGCACTAATCTGGATTCCGTTGGATCTGATGTATGGAGCACAGAGGAACCAATGCCAGCAAAAGAAACTGGTTGGGCTTCCTTTTCAGATTTCACTGTAAGGTAGGAAAGTTTTGTATTCCTGGAAAACCTACAAATGAAATTAAAGAAAAACAAGAAAAAAACATATGCTTTATTTTTACATATTTTATATTTGAAATGAAAGTATTAGCTCATTAGTTTGCTTTGGCATCTTTTAAAAGTGCAGCTGTTGTGCAATTTGAGGGGGAAAAAATGGTTGGCATCATTTTAGTCCAAAGTCAGTTTTTTTGTCACTCATCGCGAAACCACATTGCAGAAGTTCATCAATAAAGTGCAGAATTGTAGTATCAGTTCCCCTCCCCCCACAAAAATAATTATTTTACTGAGAAAATCTCAGTCTATAAAAATAAAAACCTAACCTCATTGACCCATTAATTTTGTTGCTAATTTCATTTCTGTGCAGAAAATCTTGGATAATAGGATAAAACAAGTAGCACTAACATTTTCTTCCCTGGCACTTCAAGTGTGCTTCTATCTTCACTTTCTTTCTATCTTCTTCTCTCAATCATTATCCTCCTTTTTTTTGCATCTCATTCTGTTGAACATTATATTTTTGTTTTCTGGATTAAAAAATAATCTATAGCTGAATCTTTTTCTTCCATGTCCTAATTGAAAGGTAAGGGTTCAAAGAAAGCGTAGTTTATCTTTCAGAATTTATATAAACTTCTATAAGGTTTTAAATGCTCATTGATATTTACATGACCTTTTATTTGCCGCTCAATTAATATAAGCACAAGTATACTCTAGAATCCTGTTCCAAATAGTTAGCGTTATCACACAGAAGCGACCAACTGAATTCTATCCTGTGTACTCCTTGCAGAAAATAATTGAAAATTTGATTCATCAATTTATCTTACTTTGTTTTTAAAGTTCAAAAGAATCTTTGAGAAGTAATTCACCTGTGGAAATGGAAACCAACACCGAACCAATGGATCCTCTGAATGCCAGTGTAGCTGCCCTTGTGACCCAGCCAGAAAGTAAGAGCTTAGAATTATTTTGATTAATAATGTGTGGTATTAAGACTCGGCATATTCCACTGACAAGAAAATGCCATTTTACAGGACCTTCGAGTTGGTCGTTCTATGGAGTTGTGTCTGCTATACCCTTAAGCCTGCCATTTTTTATGAAACTAGCTCCATCAGCACAGCTTGGGAAAAAATGATTTTTGATCCCAGTTTGTAGAAAGTGAAAAAGAAATGTTAGAGAACTTGACAATGATTCATCAGTGTTTGTAGTTTCCACAACAGGTTCTTTTCTCTGACATGGGTTCTGAAGACTTTCGTTATTATTTTGTTGGGTTTTTGTTGATCCTTTAAACAGAATTATTTTTAAAATTTTTGTTTATTAATTAAATATTTATACTGCTCATCTCCCCATTCTTACTTGTTATCCAGAATTGCTACTATGAAAGTAAGCTCTCAATAAGAGTTTACCAATCAGTTAAATATATAAAAGTTTATTCTCCTTATTGTTGACAGTTCCATATAGCTGAGCACAAGAATAGAAGAGTAATACAGATATTAAAACATAAAAAAACTAATTGTCCAGTTTCATTGTTCAAATTGTTTTTTCAGATGTAGGAAGTATTTCAATGGAAGCTGGTTCTGATGGAGAAGATGATACAGAAAATGCAGATAAAGTGACTGAAACAGTAATGAATGGCAGCATGAAGGAGACTCTTAGTCTTACTGTAGATGCTAAAACTGAGACTGCTGTCTTCAAAAGGTGAGGCGTTAACCTTTGCTGCCCTGTAAGTTTAAAGAATTTTCATTAACCATATTAAAAGGTGGCCTAATGTTGCATTCTCAAGCCATTTAAAACAACCACTTGTTTAAAACTTTGTTTTAAAACAACCAGCTTTTTGTGAAATTGGGATTTTAAAATGATTTTTTTTTGTGAGTGCTAAAAGTTCAATTAAATGAGGTATTCCTATTTTCACTGAATATCATTGGGCAGATTTTTAATTTTAAGTTGATAGTTACTATTTTTTTCTTATGTATTAGCCTCTGAAGTCTTTTCTGTGCTTTCTGTTTACGTCTTTTTATTTAAAAATAATAATGTTCTAATCTAGTTATGAAGGAATTATTGAAAATAATAGACGGAGCTAATACAATAGCCACACAACAAGGGCCTTTTTTCCTTAGCTTGTATTTTGAGATAGTTCTATAAATTTAGCTCTACAGTTCACCTTTTTGGTCAAAATTCTGACCCGAGTATTAGGATACCAATTTCTTTTTTTGGTCCATGTCTTATTATTTACATGCCATCTAATTCCCAACTCTTGAGTGGTTCCCAAGTGAAAATGTTCAAAACAAGAACAAAAAGGAATGCAAGACAGCAAGAATGACAACAAACAGTCTGGAATGAAAAAGAAGTGAACTCACACAATCCAAAGGAGGCTTCACCCACCCTTGCAGATTTTGTTCAGTGTTTCCTTCAGTACACTAACGAAACAGCGCTGTGAAAATGTGTTTAATTTTTTTATTAAATTTATTTGCCACCCATCTTGTTTCAAAATTATCTGAGCAGTTTACAAAAATTTGGCCTTCACTATTCCTGTAGTTTCTTTCTTTCTTTCTTTCTTTCTTTCTTTCTTTCTTTCTTTCTTTCTTTCTTTCTTTCTTTCTTTCTTTCTTTCTTTCTTTCCTTC